TAACTTTCTGTGAGGGAGCTTTTAGAGGTGGACATCTGGTTCCTATCACCACCACTGTGAACAGTTCTGACTCATTTCACACCAAACCACTCTGAACGACTCTGTTTACATCGGAGCCATTTAATTATGTAGACATTCAAGCCTTTCTCTGTGTTGAAGGAGCCTTTTAGCCTGTTAGCTGTCTGAGCTAATCTGCCGAGCTGGTCATTCGACACATAATTAAACTAAACTACATTCTTACACAGCGTATGTTTTGTAGAGTTTCAGACATTTTACCTCACATACATAAAAATTACAAGATAGCAAACTATTAATTTATATTAATATTTCAAACTGCACATGCCTTTCTCACAGACCCACAGTTAGCTACATGAATACTGAGTCCTGAAATACATACATTCTAATGGCTACTTCAATCACTATGAAATCATGAATCATAAATATTTATGTACCATAAATCCTTAGAAAAGCACTGACCAGTGGAATGGGACGCTCTGCAGCAGCTGCACATGGGCCTAAGGTCTCTATGCCCAATGCTGAGCGAGGGGAGTATAAAGCTAAATTGGGCTGTGGAGCAGTGGAACTGTGTTCTCTGGAGTGATGAAGCTCCATCCGATACCATTGGGATGAGTTGGAGTGACCCAGGACTGACCATCCAACATCAGTACCTGACCTCACTAATGCTCAATCAAATCCTCACAGCAATGTTCAACATCTAGTGTAAAGCCTTCCCAGAAGAGTAGAGGCTGTTACTGCAGCGAAGGGGGACAAACTCACTATTAACACCCATCATTTCAGACGAAACTCTGGAGTCTACAAACTTCTGGACATGCAGTGTAGCTCCTGTCTCGGCCACTAGGTGTCGGTCACTCAGAGCGGGGAGAGTGTTGTATTTCCCATGCCCTCTCAGGGCCCTTGTGTACAGGCCTGCTGCAGTGTTTGTGTGTTTAAGGCTGTGTTACAGACACTGTTTGCTGATGGTGTTTCTCATGGTAGGTACAAGGTCACACCCACCGGAGAGCTCAGTCACCGCCCTGTGAAACAGATTTAGGCAGCTGGGAGTGAAGAGTTCAGTGGACATCAACAAAAGAGGTTTTGTAGTGTGTTACTTAACAGGTGTACATCAAAGAGTCCCAATATTTTCTCATGCAAAATGACATTTTTACCACAAAAGGCAAATTATAGATATAATTAAAAAGCTCAGTTTTAAATTCATTTAAAGAATTTTTTCAATTTTCTTTAGTAAAGGCAATGGTTCTGTTTAGAACCTTAAGTGCTTCATAGGACCGTTTCGTGCTTAAATCGTTCCTTGCGTGGTGAAATAGTTCTTCAATTCTTCAGTTCTTCAGAGTTCTTCAGATTGATTGATGTGTTTTGTATGGTTCTTTATAGCACCAAAAAAGGGGTTCTTCTATTACAAGCTTGACATTAAAACTGTAGAGGAACCCTTTTTGGTGCCATATAGAACCATTTTTAAAATGTACAGAATGTTACACAGTACATTTCACCATGCAAAGAACCTTTTAAGCATAGTGGTTCACTATAGAACCAGTCCTTTTACTAAAGAACCATTTTTTAAGTGTAGGTGTTAAATAAAATAAAATAAAAAATAAACAATGATGATGTTTATTGTTTTTATATCTAATTATTTTAGATGTTTTTGCATTTTCAAAAACCGAATAATTAAATATTCTGGGACACATCAAACTGTTTATTTTTGTAAAATGCTCTGTGTAAAATAAACGAAATTCAGAAATAAAGAGTAAATCATATCTTGCTGCTCATGCTGCCGTGTAAAACTTCAAGATGCAGCGCAGTGAAGACAGTGAAGGTACCTTTGTGGAACCTGACTGTTACATAAATCTGGAAACTTGCAAGAAATCAATCAACCAATCGGTCAATCAATAAACCTTTCTTTAACCTGGGAGAACATTGAGGGTGACCCTCATTTACAGTGTTGCTGAATTGATACAAGAAAAGGGATTGATAATGTCTAAGAACATATCAAATAACAAAAGTATATTTAATGAAAAATTACTCAAATCATTTAAGTTTAAAAAAGAAACATTAATAAAAAAATACAGTAGAAAATATAAAACAATAATTAAAACGTAGCTGAAACATAAAAGTTAATAAAATTGAATCAAATCAAAATAAAACAAAAGAAGGATAAGATTAAAAAGTAAACTAAAAATTAATCAAAATGACTAAAATAATAATAAAATAATTGAAATAAGAATATGAGTAATAATAAATAAAACAATTAAATAATGAAATAAGACAATAATAGTAAAAAATCAGGTGCAGGCAGAGTGGAGGTGGTTAGAGAGTAGAAGTTTAAAATGAGCAAATGAAAAGCTGCCGTGATGTTTGGGATGTGTGTGACTGATCCAGGCTGAGCCCCTGTTCTACCTGCACAGGTTCTCTTTGGTTTCTAGTTACATTTCTGGCATTTTTCAAAGGAAGCCTCTGAGGTGTTACCTGTGGCGTGATCCATCAACTGTTGCCTGTTTATCCAGTTTAGAGCAGAAATGGAATGAACTTAATCCACCCTTCCCTCTCTCTCTCTCTCTCTCCCTCTCTCTCTCTCTCTCTCTCTCTTTCTCTCACTCTCTCTTTTAATTAACCCCGCCCTCTACTGCTGTGCTCTGTCTACCAAGAAAAAAGAGCTCCATTCTTCTAATTTTGAGTTTTTGTGCTTCTCTGTCTCTGAGGACCCCCTTGCTCTCTTTCCCTCTCCTTTCTCGCTCTCTCTCTAGCTGTCCTTCCCCCCTCTCCTTTTTATCTCACTTTTTCATCTCTTTCTCTCTCTCTCTCCTGTTTCTCTCTCTCACCTGTCTACCCCCCTCTCTCTCTCCCTCTCCCTCTATCTCTCTCTCTCTCTCGTTTCTCTCTCTCCAGTCTCTCTCTCCCGTTTCTCTCTCTCTCTCTCTCTCTCTCTCTCTCTCTCTCTCTCTCTCTCCTGTTTCTCTCTCTCTCCTGTTTCTCTCTCTCTCTCTCTCTCTCTCTCTGTCTCTCTCGCTGTATGTATCTGTGTGATGTGTGAGTCTGATTGCTCCAGTCGAGCTCTATTGAAGAGAAAAGGACACACAATGGGGTCTTTCTCAGGCGAAGCTCCATCTCTATTAAAGACCCTGGGAACACCGTGCGTCCCCCCGCAAACCTTCTCTTAAAGGGCTGGCAGCGGCGCAACCCGACACCACAGCAGCCCCACTTCACTGTGCTGCCACGGCAACGATGAATCCCCCACCCAGGAAATCAATAATTCATGAAGGGCTCATTAACTCATCTGCCCAATCAATATCTATCTATCTATCTATCTATCTATCTATCTATCTATCTATCTATCCACTCATTGTCCATCTATTTATCCATCCATCCATCCATCATCCATCCATCTGTCTACTATCTAGGTGTCCTATCTGTCTGTCTGTGTCTCCGTCTGTCCGTCCACCTGTCTGTCTATCTATCTAGGCGTCCTATCTGTTTGTCTGTGTGTCTCTGTCTGTCTGTCCGCCTGTCTATCTATCTATCTATCTCTCTATCTATCTATCAGTCTGTCTATCTGTCTGTTTGTCTGTCTGTCAGTCTGTCTGTCAGTCAGTCTATCTGTGTATCTGCTCTCATGGCTCTCTGTCCCCAGATCCCCCTCATCAGACCGGTCTAAACACGCCTGCCCGCTCCATCTGTAGACACAGCAACGAGAACGCCAAAATAAAATGGGCTTTAAGGCAGCAGAACAGAGTGAGGTTGTTTTAATAAGCTACTGTCTGTGTTTGTGTCTGTTCTTCAGTCTCTTTGTTTATGTGCGTCGGTCTGAAGGGAAAAGTAGACTAGGATTTGGTGGAATCTCACAAAAGAAATAAGAAGCCACTTAAACATACTTACCAAAGTCTAAACTGTTGTGGAGAGATTTAGTTTTGACTCAGGCTGTTTATTGCAATGTATTTCCAGTGAGTGTTTTGCAGTGCTGACCCATCAGGGATGGAAAAGTGCTTTGGGTCCAGATGACTCACAAACCTTTGTTTTTCAGACAAAACTTCATGTTCTTGCACCATAAAATCCTTTATGTCAGAAAACTTTGACCTGAAAAAGAGCAGACGGTCACTGTCAACAGTCATCATCAATTCTCGGCCATAACTTTAAAACACTCAGCCTACTCAGATGGGAATTCTTTAAAGGGGAATTACACAATTTTTCTAGATTTCTGCCTGATAAAATGGTTAAAATGTAAACAGAGTCATTCAGAGTGGTTTGGTGTGAAACGCTCTGTTCTAAAGCAACTTACCCGAGTCAGAATTGTTCACAGTGGTGGTGATAGGAACCAGACGTCCACCTCCAAAAGCTCCCTCACAGAAAGGCATTACATGAAATAGTTATGAATATAATGTCTGAGTATTTTTGAGATAAAAGTTTTGGCCTTAAACACATTTTTTTTTAAACCCTTTCACGGCAGAGGGATACATGTAGACTGTGGAAAAAAAATAGTCCCTGAATAAAACTTATTATTTTCAGATTTTACATAATTTTATCATCGTCGACATTCCATATAAACTCAGAAGACTCGTGTAGGTTCACTGGTGGTTTTGGATAGTAAATAAAATGTCTACATTTGTGTTGTAGTCATGGCGACCCCTGGTTCCCATCACCACCACTGTAAAGACATCTGAACCATTTCTCACCATTCTCACCAACCATTTCTTATGTTTACATCTGAATGAAGAAATTTAGAAGACAAAAGTAAACATTTCCCCCCTTTATCCATGAGAGAGAAGCAGAAAAGTGTCAGAAATGGTTCGGTTTTGCACAAAAAGCACCAAAAAGTGATTTATTTGTAGAGTTTGGGGTGATAAATTGGTAATTGAAGCTGCTGAGAGGGGATTGTCTCGGGGTAATGAGTGCCCCCCCTGCCTTTTCACGTCCATGAGAAAAAGAAGGAGACTCAGAGGGAGGGAAGAGGGAGGGAGGGAGGGAGGGAGGGAGGAGGAGGGAACTAAGAGAATGGAAAGAAGTTGTGTAGAGGAATTTGTTTGAGTCCTGTTTGAAGGGGGGGAGAGAGAGAGGAGGAGAAAGGAGAGGGGGCCTTGTCGATGAGGTTGAGGGGCTTCTCAGCTCCAGAAATAACTTCTTATTTACAACTTTGGCTGGAAAACTTTGGCCTTGCTGCGCCTCGAGCTTCAGAAAGGACACAGCTGGAAGGCTGGAAGGCTGGAAGGCTGTTTTCACACTTCTTGGATGTTCTTCTCGTGGACCTTTGGAAGATACTGGGTTTCCCTCAGCTGTAAAGCAGAACCAGCGAGTTGTGTTTGGCTTTTTTTTTCCTTCTCGAAACCTGAAAAACGAGAACTCCGCGCCTGAGAAGACAGCCTCGCGCATCTTCCTCGAGCTTCGTCCCCAAACTTTTCCTTCTGCAGCTGTTTGTCGGTGTGGAAGCGATGCGGTGACGCTGAGTCATCAGGGAAACACAGCGCGACTCGAGCGAACGAGAAAGTCTCCAAGTTCTCACAGCAAGACGAGAAGGATGAAGCTCTCCGACCTCCCGCTGCTCGTTCTCCTCCTGGCCCCCGCGCTCGCGCTCACGGCCGGTCAGAGTTTGTCAGGTAAGACTTCTGTTTGTTGACGTCCGGCAGCTGTGAGGACCCCAGTCCAGGGATCCGATATATGACCTTATATATGCACAGTATCATAAAGAGCCAGACATATATATTCAAATATATACACACTTAAAAAAAGGAGGTTCTTCAAGGGTTTGTTAGTGAAGAAAATGGTTCTATATAGAACCACAAACACATGACGCAAAGAACCCTTCAATATAGAACCATGAACACTCAAGGAAACTTTTGCATGATTAAAGGTTCCCTGCATTTTGAAAAAGGTTCTATAATGCATCTGAAGGGTTCTTGTGTTGTTACAAGCTTGACGTTGCAACAATAGAGGAACACTTTTTACAAAAAGGTTCTTTATGGAACCGTCTACAGCACATTCTCCATCAATCTGAAGAACCCTTTCATGATGCAAAGAACACTTTAATCATGCAAAGGGTTACTGGGTGTTTGTGGTTCTATATAGAACCATTTCCATACTAAAGGACGCTTGGAGAACCATCATATTTAAGAGGGTACAGTACTGTGCAAAAGGCACTTAAGTACTATTTTTAAAACCATTTGTCCTGGCAAGATGAAAAGACACCATATACTCAAAAAGGTGGTTCTTCAAGGGTTCTTTAGTAAAGAAAATGGTTCTTTATAGAACCACAAACACTCAAAGGACCCTTTGCATGATTAAAGAGTTCCTTGCATTTTGAAAAAGGTTCTATAATGCACCAAAAAAAGTTCTTCTATTGTTACAAGCTTGACACTAACAACTGAAGAACGTTTTTTTTCTGTATAGAACCATCTACAGCTCATTCTCCATCAGTCTGAAGAACCCTTACATGACTCAAAGAACCCTTTAATCATGCAAAGGGTTCTTTGAGTGTTCATGGTTCTATATAGAACCATTTATTTACTAAAGAACTCTTGAAGAACCATCGTAACCATCTTATTTAAGAGTGTACAGTACTGTGCAAAAGGCACTTAAGTACTATATATTAAACCATTTGTTGTGGCAAGACATGAAAAAAACACCATACACTCATTAAAAAGATGGCTCTTCAAGGGTTCTTTAATAAAGAAAATGGTTCTATATGGAGCCATGAACACTCAAAGAACCCTTTGCATAATTAAAGGGTTCTTTGCATTTAAAATAAGTTCTATAATGCATTAAAAGGGTTCTTGTGTTGTTACAAGCTTGACATTGCAACAGTAGAAGAACGCTTTTTCCAAAAAGGTTCTATATAGAACCGTCTACAGCACATTCTCCATCAATCTGAAGAACGCTTTCATGACACAAAGAACCCTTTAATCATGCAAAGGGTTCTTTGAGTGTTCATGGTTCTATATAGAACCATTTCCTTACTAAAGAACCCTTGAAGAAGACGTGTCCAGAAGTCTGTAGACTCCAGTGTTTCTTCTAAAAAAGAAGGTGTTATTAGTGAGTTTGTGCTGCAGTAACAGCCTCTACTCTTCTGGGAAGACTTTGCACTAGATGTTGAACATTGCTGTGAGGATTTGATTGACCATTAGTGGGGTCAGGTACTGATGTTGGATGGTCAGTTCTGGATCACTCCACCTCATTCCAAAGGTACTGGATGGAGCTCCATCACTCCAGAGAACGCAGTTCCATTGCTCCACAGCCCAATGCTGGGGACCTGTGCAGCAGTGGAACTGTGTGACCAATGGGTGACCATAGAGTAGCTGAGTTTAGAAGTAGGTCTGGATACTTTTGGACCGTGAGTGTTGAGCTGGTTCTGTACGCCTTGAAACAGTGTTTGTCATCAGTCTTTTTGAATATATGACAGCATAAAGGAGATATGTTCAAAACTCAAGTTTATTCCAGTTCCTGCTGATGTGTTCTAGTGTATTCTTTCTAAATGGGTGATAGGAAATCACTGTAGAGCTAAATTCACATTACGAGCCTCGTTGCTCAAATCCGATTTTTTGCTCAAATCTGATCTCTCTGACACGAGGGTTTACACTCGTTTAGGTAAGTGACTCAAATCTGTCATTAATGTGAACAAATAACGTCCTGAAATGACCCTCATGAGCACATCCTACTCAGTAACGTGACGTGAATGAATCACATGCATCATCAGCAACAAACTAACGAGCAGAACGAGCTTCGCTGAGAAGATAATTTACTCTGATCAGCTCTCAGCTTCATTATTAGAGCAAGACAAAGGTGAAAAAGGTGAGATGAGCTGCTTTTCCACCGTTTACAGGCTTTAACTTCTGTTCAGCGCTGTTGCCATGGTAACGCTGAATGATGGCGCACGCGCAGTGGGGAAAAAAGCACATGAATTCTGATCTGAGCGTCACATTAAGGTCGCATGGCCACGAATCGGATACGTATCCGATCTAGGACCACATATGAAAGTGGCTCAGGTCGGATTTGAAAAAATCTGATTTGTGCCACTTCAGCCTGGTAATGTGAACGTAGCCTAAGTGGGCTGCTTCAGTTGCGCAAGTACTTTTTATTGGAAAGTCTGTTAAATGTCCCATTTAACCTGAAATCACATCCACTCTACTCGCAGAAGAGCAGATCTGAGATACTGAAGAGAAGAATTTCGCTGTTGTTAGTCAGAGGAGGATGGGTTCTCCTGTCTTGGTATCTTGCCATTGTTCCTCCTCATGCTCTTAAGGAGTTTCTCCTGCTGTTGTCACCCTCACTAACAGCCATTCAGGGTCTGTTTTCTTCCTAAAGCTGCTGTGGAACAGGGTCTGTTGTGTAATATGCTATATAAATAATAACGCCTCATTTGTTTGGGTCCCGTTTGATGTCATGGTTGATCGACTACATTTAAGGGGGAAATTTTTTGCTGTTCTTGAGCTGAAAGAGAGAGACTGCTTCACACTATAAGGCCTGACATTGTACTGAAATAATCCAGTTATGATGACTTAATTTCTCACAAGTAATGTTTTTCACTAAATCCAGGCAGGTTGTTTGTTCTTTCTGGTTAAAATTCAAGTGTACTTAGTTTTGTCTGAGAAACAAATCCAACAAGATGGGTTTTAATAGAGTATGGGGTGGGGTTTCCTAGAGTTTGTCTCCTTCGCTGTCCTGCCCCAGTCAGCAGAGATGAGTGCAGACGGTTTGAGCAGCAAATCGGCAGTGAAAACATCCGCCACGTGTAACATTACACACAAGATTTATGATCTCTGTTCACGTGGAGCATCGAGACGGCCAAGAACCTCTCCACTGCACCTGATAACATCTCAAAACATGACAAACAGTATCAAAACTGATAAACAAAATACAGCAAAACGACAGAAGCAGAAGAAAAGTGTTCATGAATTAATGAAATTATGAAGATGTTCACAAATCACAGACAAATATCAAAAAGACTTAATAAAAATAATAGGACATATTGATTTACAATTCATTGATTTTTGATGATCAGTCCTTCGAGAGCACCGAATTTCACAGCACTGGAGTTTACATTCTTTAATAATTAAGTAAATTAAATTAATTAATAAGTTTATGTTTTGGGAACAGTTTTAAATTTTTTTCTGTTTTCGATTTTCTAAGACTTTTCATTTCGGTTCATAACTGTGCTGTAGTTTGAATGATAACTGCTTATGTTTGGGCACAATCCCATTTCACCCCTCGCCCCTACCACTTAGCCCTTAGCCCTCTGTTTTTTGCGTTCACGTCTAGGGGTAGCGTGTCCCAATTTTTGTTGAGATAGAGGGGTAGGGTGAAGTGTTAGAGCTACATTACCCTCCAAACGGAGGTTTTTCAGAGACTCCAAACAGAGAGTTATGAGAAAAAAAGAAAAACTGGCAAGATGGCTGAACAAGAGACCAAAGAAACCCACAAATGTGAGAATTTTCTCTGTAAAAAAATCACGATAACCACTGTATTATCTTAGTAGTAGTTTCAGTGTATTATGGTCCTTTTTCTTCATAACAAGCATAAAAAATTGCTAAAAGTATGCTAATGTCTCGGTAGCTAGCCAGCTAAATTTCCCGTTCCACCTTAAATAGTCCAGCAGTTCTGACACCTGAAGCACCAGAATGTAACTGCTGCTCCATTTAAGGTGGAACGGGAAAATTCAAACAAGAAGCTGGAGAATATCTGACTTCAGCTTCATATCACCAAAGAATTAGGGGTAGGCGATAATAAATAACTGTCCCTCTTTGAAAGCATATGATGCCCTAAATGTATTTAAAGCCCAGCAGTGAGGAGCTGAACTTTACCCTCCTCTGCTATCACTGAAGATGGGCGGGTCGCCTACAGAGCACCGCTAGTAGCTGTTAATGAAGCAAGGTTTTCCCCATTTCGTAGGGGAAGATTTCAACCACTACCCCTTGTAACTCTGTTCCAAGGGGATAGGGTGACACCCAAAAACAAGGGGTAGGGGTAAAAAGAAGAAATGGGATTGGTCCTTAGTCTTAAAACCTTGTATTCAACACAGTGAGTGACCCTTATTCATTACAAACGAGTACAGGTCTGAGTGACCTGAATGACGTATGAACTGATTCAGAAAACTGGCGTACAACGAATAAACAAGCGAAACTGATAAATCAGCTTCAGTGCGTGAAAACAAGCGCTCAAACACGAGTCTTATATATTTGCACTGACTTGCCCCAGTTTGCCTTCAAATACATACAATTTATACATAGCACAGCCGAATGCATGCAGAATTTTGGATTGTGAACCAATGGTTGTCCTTATAGGTGGAGTTTGGGGTCAAGCAGGAAGCGCACAAGCACAAAGGCTACATAGCTTTATGGTGTTAAAATTACAGCTGTTGTTTCAGATAAAAAGATGTGATTGTGTCGTGCAGTCATTTCCATAAAACACTGACTGCTTGAGCTATAATATTGCAGTATATGACCTTCTACTGTGCTATATTTTGCATTTTAGGGAGGGTATTTACTGTATCAGCAATGTAAAGCAAAAGTCTATAAATGGAAAATGTAACCTATAAACCTAATGGTTTTGCTTTTTAATAGGAATTGGCTTAATGGCTTGCACTGGTTTACAGTAAAACACCTTC